TTTTCAATTAAAAAATCGAAGGAGATAGCAAAAAGGATAAAAAAAATATTTAATTAAAAACATTTAAAGATATTTGCATAAATCTAGAAAAATGTAAAACCTATATTTGAAAAAAAACAAATTTTGAAAAGCATTTTAGATGAAATAAAGAAGTTGGGACTATGCACCAAACAAAACCTTAACGCACACACCGATCAAGAACCAACCTCACAAAAACACGCGCTTTAGCTAAAGAGGTTATAAACACGAATGACCTTCAATGTAGTTATTGAGATAAAGTACAAATACGATATTTCAGTTCACGAGTAGTGTTACTGGTTTAAAATTCAAAGCCTTACATGCAATTACGTTTTAATTTTCATCTTTGTAAATTATTTGGCAAATATGATTAGTCACGTTTAAAATACTTTCTTATTATGCATTATTGACAATAATTTAACAGAAACCACCTCTAAATTAATGCAAGGTAGTGAATTTTTGCACTTTTTTATAAAGAAAAATATCTTTTTTTCTAGGTTTTGCAATATAACAACCTTTTGATTGACCTCAATTATAGTGATTATCCTAAATCTGGTAAATTAAATGATGTTTAAGAACTTATTGAACGAATTAGCTGAAAAAGGCGGTCATGTTATAGGTAATATGGCCAAGCGGATTTGTCCCTATTAGTTAAAGCGTTTCATTGCAGAGTGCTCGAATTTTTGGAATTTAATTCAACAGTATGTTTTGCGAGTAAATTTGATTACTTTAAAGTAAAATTGACGATTCATGAAATGTATTCAGCACTGTTGGTTTACCTGACTGAGAGTTTTTTGCCATTTGGCTGAATGCAGAAATAAGGGTTATTTACGAAAATTTTTTGAGGCATTTAATGGACATGCAAGGAAAACTTGTAAATTTAAACTTTTTAAATATCTGAAGAAGCATTCTACGTCAGTTTAGCTTCCGTAAACTATCATGCTGCACATGTTCAAAGAATTAAACTTGCATTCTGTGATCTTAGACAGATCCTAACTAAATCCGAGGATTTGTGGAAATGGGCTCATAGAATGGAATTCGGCAATCGAATCATCCGACGCGAATTTGTTTCTGGTTTCTCAGATATGCACAGGTCGTACTGATTGTTTATACACTATTAGTTGAGATTGGAAATTATTATAGATGGTCTGCGTAAAGTATGCACCATTCATTTAAGGAAATGAAAAATTTATTTTACTCGGTTGGATAGTCTGTACCCATGAAGTCACCGATTTCTCCCTTTCTGTCCCTTAATCAGTGGTTCCAGACAATTTACCTCACAAAATTTTCGAAATATGGCACCTGACATCTCTCAACTACGATAATAATTTTGTACAGATTTGTGTGTAATTTTTTACCTATCTGTTATTCGCAGATAGCCACTTTACTTTGTTTAAACGTCCATCGTAAAATGCTGTGGATTTTTCGAAAAACCAACAAAAATTTTTGCTCCCTTTTTTAATCATGTAAATGTCTTTAAAACCTAGTAATGCCCACTTTTAATGGTGATTTAAAGAGGATCATGAACCTCCACATTTGTAAATCGAAGAACTTTTTCGGTATCAGAACGGAAAACATGCCAAATCAAATTTAGTCTTAACTTTTTCGACTGCTCACAGCAGTTTCGGTTGCCAAACATTACCTGTGGATCTGCTAGGCTGATGGCGTAATCAAATATGGTTACAGTCTACACCGACACCACTTTGTGTCAGCTACATGTTTTTTTTTTCAAAACCAATATTAGCCATGTTTTAAAATTCATGAATTTTATTTATTAATTCAATGTGGAATAAACTAAACAATTTTCAAGGGCTAAAACACAATGGGAATTTTTAGTAATAGATATGTCGCATGAAAAATTTTAATCTTCTTGCTTGAGAATTTGTAGCAAAACCATTTCAACCAGCATCTCAGATCTTTTTGCTTTGTCAAAATACTTAATGCTATCTTGGAAGTTTCGGCATTTCTCGATTTAATCATTTTGTCACTAAAAAGCAACTAAGGCGGTCGATTCTCTATTTTTATACGGAATCACCCGAAATTTTGCGTGACGTGGACACTAGAGTAGTTTTAAATTACCTCGCTTAGTGGTACTCATTTGCGGATTGTTAATTGAGACCCGTCTGCATAAAATCGAATCACATTCCCTACCAATATAGGTTGATTAGTTTCTCTTATTTCTGAATTGAGCCATGGCTATGAATATGAGCATAATTCTGGTGAGTTACAGAGGGTCCTGGTGATCCAGAAAAGGGTAAGCAAGGTGTGTTGTGCGGCAGAATAATCTAAATACTTGACTTAATTCAGTAGCAGTCATTCTTCTATAACAAGGGATTTTGAAGCAGGTAACCCAACATTGAAGAGATGCATTAGTCAGCATTCGTTGACGCTACCTCGACTACATAAATCCCATATTGGGCCCCAATAACTGTTTCGCATTAGACTACGCCGCATTTATGAGCTGCTATCCCAGTTTAAGCCCGTCTCTGTTTTGTAAATTTCAACCACAAGCCACCGGGTTACGTTTCATGATTTGGACCTTAAATAAATGCTTGGGATAGTGAGTGTTTAAGGGTATAATTGCACCATTTCTAGAAACCATCTAAATGTTCGTACATGAGCGTTTATTAGACATTGTTCAAATTACCGAAGTGGTGAAACTTCTTTCGTCTTGTGTATGCATCAGACCTGAGCACTTCATTAACCACAAAAAAGTATTAAGTACCAGAAGAGATAAGTGAAGGTCCCTCAGCCACTGGCCATGGTGAGCGAAATCTCCCGGACACGGCGGAAAGACACGGCAGTTTTGAGGAAAAAATCCTTGTTCAGTGTGATGGAGGAACTGATTTGAATAAAACCACGACGAAATGAAAGCGTCTGGTTTCCATAATTCGTTCAGCTTAGACCATGACCCAGCAAAACCCTTTATGTGCAACATTTTTTTGGGCTGTAATCCATTTTACAGCAGGCACAAACAATGAAGCTTATGTCAGACATCTACAGATGTCACAGTTTGTAGAGCAATACCAGCAACCCGTTCTGATTTTACACAATTATCGGATTACTTGTTCTTTGCGTCCCTCTAGACAATTGTTCATCCTACGTATTATTGTTCACAGAGAACCCTACAAATATGCTTACTGATACATTGCACTGACGCATCTCCAGAGAGTGAACAAGCGACTGCGTCCACTTTGTCGTGTTAGTGTTCCACAGAGAGAAAAGAAGAGGTGATTCTGATGTAACGCTCCCACTTCTAATTGTAAATTGCAATCATCAACAAATCTGAGACGCAAACGTCACATAAGAAAACTAGTAATTCCGCCATGGCCTACGAATGAGCGCAAGTACACGCAGTTCCCGCTGTTCTGATGCAATATGGATTCTTTATCCACTTGCCATGCTCAACAAAGGCGCAAACTCACTCACCACTTCACACACAATTTGCACATTTTCATCCCCTCGCCTGGTTATCCTTGGCAAAAGCAGCTACCACCCCCCTTTCTGATTAGCTGTTACGTCGGTGGCTCAATAAATGCGGTAGTACAGGAGCCGGGGACGTCTGAGTACCCATGGTGGGGAGACACATTCCACTAGTAAAAAAATATCGGAAAGACTGAGGTCAATAAATGCAGTCGACCTTATCGAGTTTGTAAAAAGCGCACGATCCTATAAGTTTTCCGCGGAGTCTTCTATGATATTTTAAGTAAAAAGGACTCGTTTGGCCCTGACGAATCCTAAAACACTAACGTCGAGACTCCGAGAGAAGGAAGTTAGGCGTTTTTGACTAACCAAGGGCCAGAACTAGGAGCAAAACCGCATTTTATGTAGACCCACTTTTCTGAGCGAATCTCCGGTCAGTAACATCCCTGCCTTTGGAATCCTACAAAGTATTCCTGATCATGACAAGGTTGCGGACGTCGTCGACATTGCGCCAGGGGCCTAATTTTGTGCCACTCAAATACCGTACGACACTCTTCTCCACTAGGGAGATAAGCTGTCCTCAGCTTGATGCTAATTTCATTGGTGAAACTGTCGCATTAGATCTTCAAGATCACAACACCAGACCGGAGTTATCCGTCATCTGACATCAAGCAGGTTAGTTGTCATTCTGCAGACAAATTCTCCACTTGACTCCCGGTAGGGGTCGCAGACGCCTTCTACTTGCTACCAAATGTCTAGTTGTCTTTGCTAAAGACACCTAAAATATAGAGGGTTAGGCAATTGATTGTTACTCCTGAGTAACGTTGACGTATTTTTCGGTTCGCTGATACTTCGGATGCTACAGATAAAGGCGGATGTCGTTGAGAAGAGTTTTCGGTCAGTCAGTCACATTGACTATTAACCCAACCAGTCCACCCATATCAAACAAGTAGGATCAGTTAAGCTATTAGTAAGGGAAATTTGACCTTGAGGACATTCTGGCATAGATCTTTGGATAAAACAGTAAAAAATTCGTCTATTTGATTTCGGAACCAATTTATCAGTAAACACGCATTATATGTTTGTGGACTTGAATAGGTTTAGGTTAAAAATGAAGCCCAAACAAACTTAATTGCACAAGTAGTTATTTCTCTTTTCGGCTACAGATGTTGTTCTTCAAAGGAATTTTACATTTGAAATTTATTTTTCGTGTGAGATACTCAGGTTTATTTTTCGAACTCGCCACAATGCTTGTTAAAACAAAAGTTTAACTTATAAAAGCAAGCCAGTTCGTGGACTAAGAAAAATTTTTAAACTTCATAAATATATATCAAATTAAGTTGTGTCGTCGTTAGTGGTTTAAAAATACATTAAAGTTACCAGTTCTTACGGATGAAAGCCGTCTGGCATAAACTTTGGCGTTTGTAAGATGGTACATTCTATTTAAAAAAAATGATCGATAACCAGTTGTCTAAGCACGCAAGTAGAAAGCGTGATAAGTCAAAGCGATATGACACTGTGCTTGTAAGGTACATTAAATAGACTTACTGTTTTTATGAATGGGGAATTCATTAATCGGATCAAGATCACAATTCAGACGGCACCGAGAAGATGCCGCAGTTCAGGGGAACCCTATAATACGATGTGAATACGTGGGTGAACCAGTTCAACAACGAGGTGACTCAGTCAGCAAACACATTAGAAGGCCAAGAGATTTAAACCGACTATCTCCTGAGGATACTAGTCGCAACTTTGCTTTTTCGGTAAGACATAAAGAAAATCGACATCGTGACGAATCACAGTCCCAAATTGATGCCATCACAGCAGCACCTGAGTCTGTGTCAACTCTTTCCACTGAGCAACAGAATCCCATTCCTCTAATAACCGTAACACGATACGGTGACCACGACAGAGAACTTGCTTCAAAGGCGGAAGAATGCGAGCTCAGTACATTAACGGCCTCCCAGCCATGCCCTTCTCGGGATCAGCCAGGTCTTACAGGAGTCCCTCGCCACAGGCCTTTTCAACGTGTTCCACAAAACTCTCCATACAGAATCATGCCTCGCGCGCCCAGGAGGGCCATATCTGGATCACCAGGCAATAAAAGAAGTGCTGACTCGAAACCTGGCAATTCTCACAGAGTTCCACGTACAGACCGTGGCACACAGAAACTCAGACAACAGCCGGTCAATAATCAAGTCCCAGTCGGACAGGAGACAAAAATGTCGCAATCCGCACAATGCAAGATGATCCGGAGGCAGTACGAAGCACTTGCTGGCCCAACCGCATGCACGCGATCTAGCTCAGCAGCTCCGTTAGCCCGAGTTTCGACGCCGTTGACTTCTCGAAGAAGATCCTCTTCAAGGGATTTCATCAAGAGGGCGCCAAGGCTTCCGCAATCGAAACTGGAGTACACCTTTTACATCAGAGACACAGACGAACAACGCAAACCTTTCGACGATAATACAGCCGATGCAATTGCACGAGGATGTGAGTGTTCTATAGAATTAATTGCTCTTGGGAAGGGCTGCCCACCGGTTTTTCATAAGGGACTTCAAGTATGCCCAGTTACCATCACAACGTCAAACATGGCCAATTTGAGAAAGTGTTTGGCTAGGCTAGACGCCTACTATCCCGAATTTAATGCCAAAGCCTTCCTACCACATTGAAAACATATTTTTCGCTTGCAATCGACATCGCTTGTCCCTTCTTTCTGAATCAAACTGTCTACCCCTACCCGTTTTGCAACAAAGGTACTACTTTCAGACATCATTTAGTTCCTGGTTTTATTTCAATCGTTTTATTAAATGTTTCGCAAATTGAAATTGCGTGAAGAAACATGACTGGGAGCACGTTAGCAAGTGAATTTTTGACCTGAACAACAATGAGGCCATAACTGGAGAATTTAACGCTCAAATACACTAGGTGTTTGCCATTTAGCAAAAATGTTGTCAAACAGTCAGTGGCAACAAATTCGCGTAGATGTCATCTGCAGGAATGGAAGCATCGTGCGAGATTTTATAAATAAAAAAATACCTCGACCTTTTCGAGGTGCGCTCAATTTATCTGTAACTTGGTATTCACCTGAATTTATTGTCATTCGTACTTATGTAACTGAGGTTTGACAGAACGCTGACGATTTATAGGGCCACTAAAACTGCAGCATTAACGAAGCTAAATTTTAATGAAGATCATTTAGAACAAATATGTGGCTGTTTAAGCTGAATTAGTACTGATTAGTCTTTTGAAGTTTACAGACATGTTTAGGGCAACATATTTCAAAGTGCCAGGCTTTGTATGAAACATACCCATAACCAGTTACGACTTAAGCGAAATTGTCCGACCAATAAGATTCTTTGGACCGTGGTCACACATGATCGAGAAAGAGGGTAACTAGGTAACTTAGGAACAGAAAATAACTCGGAGTGTATCACGAAGAGCTGGCCTGTCTACGGGTCAATGGCAACGTTCCTTGAATGGAGGAGGGTGGAGTTCTGTAAGATGGATAACAAGGAAGGTGGTGACACAAAGGTTTATACTGTAGTTTCCGAAGACAGCCTTTCAATTTGGCTGCGAGACTATGGTTTTAACAGAGTTGAAAAGCGACGTGTATAAAATATAACTAGGAAAAGGAAATTAGAAACACTCCACCCGAGGCATCTAGACATTCCAGTCAGCCAAATTCGGACACCGTTACCGCGGGAACTCGAGTGTCCAGTTTACGGCAAAAGGATCCCAGCACACAATGGTCCCACTGCCGACAAGGTCCACGTCGTGAATTCATGATTGGCTGGCTACAAAGCTCATGTCACACCAACTGAAGCCAATTGGACACAATAACTTATTACCCGATTCACCACCTGCACTCAAACGAACAAGGAAAGAATACAAAGTTGAGTATTTATTCAATGGTCAAAGGAGGTGCCTTCTGTACACAAATTGGTCGGGCCGAGAAGCCTACTTATTTTGACCGTATTTATGCTTTTTGTGCTTCTTCCCTTCAGTCGAAATTTCCGCTGGCTGGGTGTAACGAAGGTGACGCTTTCGTTCGATCTTGTCGCCAAGGGCCTCGCGTCTGCGCTTTCCACCACCTTCCGAGTTTTTTCTGACAAAAAAAGGAATTGCAATTGATACAATAGTCATGCAGCTGGACTGAGTGAGAATTAGTTAAAACGATGGCACACAGATATGGAGGTTTGGATATGCAAAGCCTGTTCACAAGCGCTAGCATTCGCATGGATTCGTCCATTCGGATGACCCTGCACAACACTTTGAATTGTGGCAGCCACCCTGAAAGTGTTGGTAAGTTTGGAGTTGGATCCAGGCACCATTAGTTAGCTAACACTAAATAAATACATCAATTGGATGGCACATAAAAACAACTATACCGGTAATGAACGGACCACAAGCACAGCTACCGATTTCGCTAATTTGGTATTACAAAGTATAGTCGAGCATTTGGATAGAACTAGAAGGGGTACAGGCAAGTACCTTTCGTCTGGTGGTACCCTGACGTGCAGGGATGAGAGTTCGGACCCGTGACCGGCGACAGCGGCATTCCAACTTTTCTCCGACCCCTTGACCTGATACCGAGCGAGCTGCGAGTCTCCCTCCTCCCTCAACAGCTCCTTCACCAATGCCGCCCGTCGCGCCTGTTCTTCGGGGTCAAGGGTCGAACCCGTGGACGTGGGGACACCAGTTGGAACGATCTCGTCACCTAGCTCTGCGTCATCACTGCCGTCATCGTCGTCTTCTGCTTTGAGTTCACGCATTTCCTCGTCTGAGGGCGCAGAAGCATCGAGAAGGGATGGGGTGGTTTCATCGCGATACACAAGTGACTTTATCTGTGGGCAAAATCGAGAATGATTTGACTTTGGCCTTTTGTCTAACAGTATTCTGCTGCCAACAGGGAAAATATAAAATGATATGGCACTTCAGCTAAACGCGTTGAGCAGCAAGGTTGGAGCTGCATAAGGAGCATTCAGTTACCATGGCATTTTAAACTAGGGTTAGCAGATAGAGCAGGTAACATTTCGATGGAAGGTTAAGACAACAACATAATTCCCACCAACCTGAGGTTTGAAATCTTCCCCAGAGGCCTTGAGTGCGTCGTCCAAAGACTTGACCAATTCCCGCATGATAACGAACAACAAACCACGAATTCGCCTTGCCCAGCCCGTGCTTGGCTGGTCAACGCTTTCCTGGCCATCCACCTTCAGCTTCTTCGACGTGTGACGAGGTTTTTGGTGACCGCTGTTCCAGAAGGAGCCATCATCGCCCCCGGTTTGCTGCTGCTTGGCTCCTCGCATTCCTCCTTCGGTGCCCAATAGGCGTTCTAGCTCGGCCGCCAACTGGTCCACTGATTTACGCTGCACTCCCAAACCACAGAGGATAACCTGTAAAACATGTGTGAAGCAAAATTGAGCTCCAATGCAACTGTCAATACGTAAGTTAGATCATTAGACATCAAGAAGAGGCAGGAGAGCCTAGACAGCTGTACCACATTGTAGAGCTACGCACATCTAATCAGATACCTAAATTTAACGTTATCCTGTCGGCGTTTATCGCGCATCCAATAGGCATGCGAGCTGTCAAGATGCGCTCAAGTTTCTTGGCCCCTAGAAGGGCTTGGGCAAACAAATGTCTTCGATCTTGCGATGAGATGTGCATGCATAAATAATTGCACAAATGCAGGGTTACAATTTCACAACAACAAGTTAACATCCAGGAAGCTTGCCTGCTGAGTTTTATTCAGTTTGACAGAGGGGAGACGACGGAGGAAGTAGAGGGATGCCAGCTCTGGCAGTTGATCGGCCACCATTGGAAAATCAAGGAGAGAGCGAAGATATCTATGAAGACGTTCCAATTCGAGTTCTGAGAAAAGCTTGCGAACTTCCTTACCGGTCAGCTCTGGAAGAAAAGGAAATACAAGCGATAGTACTTGTTTCACATACAAAGGGGCCACCTACCTTGTCACAAGCGGATTTTGATAAATCTCTAGGATGTTGAAAAGGGATTTAATCTAATCGTACGAACTCGAACACGAGCCACCAGGAGGGTTAGTCAAGTAAGCATTGCCACTTTACCATCGATTTCCTCAAAAACAAAATCCATTCCCAGGAAAACCCGTCGTCCTGGTACGCAGGGCAAATCCCTCTTAAACATGCTTGATGTCCATCAAAATCCATTTGTAATAAAGTTGTTAGTTGGCACCAGACACACAAACCACGGAAAGCAACCAAATACAAGTGCTTGTTTGTCTGCGGCACGACCGGGGCGGTTTTCAATATCGCCCCGTCTACATTCACCGACACAATGCAAAATCAAGCCCTAACGATGAGGGAGCCTTATTTTTACCTTTCAGAAATAATGTCAACGTTGGTGCCGCCAAAGGACTTTTTACCCACTCAATAAGTGTTAGGTGACGATGATTGAAGGCGCCGACGACTCACAGAGAAACTTTATTTCTGTAAGGCCCATTTCGGTTTTTGCTGCAGAGAAAATCCACAGGTAGAGAGATTGGTCAAAACGATACTGGGTGGAAATTCCTTGGCAATGTTGACGAACTTCGTCAGAGCCAATGAAAATGTGAACTTAGCCACGGTTTCATTTGATCTAGGGTTCTAAAAGTACTAACAAGGCCTAGCTCCTTTTCCCCCGAAGGCTATTAGGAACACCTGAACCCAGAATCACCAGATTGTCTGGCGGTGACTTGAAAATTTAAAGTCGGTAAATCCAACCCACCTTCTCCCATCCAGAAACGAGTTGTCTTTGTGTTAAGCAATTCCAAGGAATAGGCTGCATCAAGTGCGCGGAAAGGTCCCGGCAACAACTTGAGGAATCTCTTGCAAAAGTCTACAAAGAATGAAACTTAAGTTAGTACAGTTACACTAAAACTAAGATTAAATCAAGCAACCGTACACAGCATAGTCAATATTTACGGTAGTTTGGATGCCTGGGAGGATAAAACATGCTTATTTGACTTGTTGATTGACTTAAACATGATGGAGGTAAAACCCCAAACACCACGATTTTTTTGTCAAACTATGAATACCTGAAAGAATTAATGAATTTGCCCGTCACACCTTTTAATATCAAATCATGTCCCTTGCGCGTTATAAATGTTCATGGGCAAAAGAAAACAAATTATCACACATATGTGAAGTAAACAGAAAGCATAAAACGGAACATCACCTAAATAGAACCTCTTCAACCAATCAGCATTGACTCCGGCATCTTCGTTATGACACAACTCAGACAGCATTATGCATGAGAATTCACCAGTCAGATCGTTCTAGCAGCAGGGAGAAAGGTGTTGAGACAAGACATAGGCGGATAATCCACGCAGAAACGAGGACGACTTTTGCCTTACCATAGTCTGCCGCAGGTAGACGGGCACATAGCCGGCCTTCTTCCAAAACCGGAGAAGTTTGGGGGTCGCACCAAACGACACTCCGATATAGTTCAACTTCTCCGGTTCCCGTTCACTCAGCCTGCTCAGGAGAGGCGGCAGACTGGCCGACGGGCGTCGCTCCACCTCTTCGGTGAGGAGTCGCGACGTCGAGTCGTTGTCGGCGGGGGGTTTGGAGTTAGGCGCCAAGGCACTGACTTCCTCGTCTGAGAGGTTATCGGGAATTTCCTCCTCGTCTTCTGATTCTTCCTCGTTGTCTTCATTTTCGGAATCCGGCTTCGAGGTAACTGTTGTGGTGACTGGCGATTTTACGCAGGCGGGGGTCGTTAGCGGCTAAATTATTATACAAAACATTGAATATAGATTAAAAGACTATCTGCTGAGCCGGATTACCAAAAATATTTGCAGCAAAGTTTAAAAAAGGGATTTTAGAACGCCTCCTGACATGAGTGATGGCTCCGGACAAGTTTTTAGAAGCGACTCATGGTGGGTAATATCATTCCATCTGATACATCAGCCTAAAGTACCACAAAATCATCCGTTCAAATTGTCACGACAAACAGTGAAACAATGTGAGTGAGAGGTTAGCTTTATTATGTTGTACGGTTCCTGATACACATGTTGTGGGCCCCAGCATGTGATCTTGAACCAAGCCGAGGCCACAGAATTTACCTTGGCCCGATTACGCTTCCCTGAAACTCACGATGAAGAAAAAGACCAGATGGGATGTGGACACAACCGTTTACTTCAGAGCTCAACCACGCTGGTGTCGTTGTGTCGTGTGTGTGGTTTGCGCCTCGAATGTGTGAGTCATAAATGCGCTAACATCGAGACCTAGGTGTGAGGGTAACACAAATATCCATGTGAATGAGGGGGGAGTTGAGGATCCGTGAGGCTAGCGACGTGCTGCGAAAAGAGGAACTCTGTGTCGGAGGTGGAACGACCGGATTGAGGGGTGTGAATAAACACGACTCACAACACACATATAAGGCCTCCAAGATGCAACGTCTAGTTGCTGTTCAGGAAACTAGACATGCCTGGGGTTGACGGGACACGAAACTGATGACTATCGCTCTACAACTGGACTCTGGATTGTTCCCTTGGACTCAATTCATGCGCTCAAAGAAATCGGATTTCACAGGCTCGTGAAGCAAAAATGAAGACGCTAACGCGATTATAACGTCTTCAAGAGACGTCAACGTCTAGATTAGCTGCGCTCCCAAGAGGGTTGAGATTAAATTGAATGCTCATCTAGCAAATATAAAGGCTAATTTATGAGCACAGAATCGCATACCATCACCTTTTTGGTGTGAACATTAAAACTGCACAGAAAAAGGGACAATAATCAAGGAACCATGTTATAAGCAAGAGCAGACTTAGCTAGAAACACAGCATTTGCACTACTTTGTGCATTGTGGCAGAAATCGACCGAGAAATAAGGCCACATAAAGTGTGTGTTTTACTCGGGGCCTCCTAGATCATAATCGAACATCTAGAATCCGAACACTACAGGACATTGCCCAAATAATTATGACATTAAGTCCCATGGAATGATTTTACGCGCGAGAGCATTGACAATCTAACAGATACACTACTGTATTATGTGACCAGCAGTTCAGGCAATTTTTGGGTCCAGCTAATTGTGGTGGAGAATTGGAAAATGAGCAATAAGAAAGTTAGTGGAAAACTCAAAACAGTGACACTTGTCCACAAGAGGATTGTGTAAAGGGGGATATTCGGGGTGAGCCGTTGTAAGTTTCATGAAACCCGATCGTTCCTGATATATGCATTAGACCGTTTCGAGTGACAGAAACCGAGGCTCTTGAAGGACCGTTTGGCATAACTGTACAACGGAAAGAGATACGAAAATGACGCCACCCAATTCGCTGGCAAAATCACATTTATTTTCGCCCTGTATCTACGACGTTTGATCAATCGTTGATCGAAGTGATTCTACGAGCAGCTAACCCCTTAGTTAGAGAGCACTAAGGCAATATTAAGATAAAACAACTAAGGGGATTAACTTCACGTAAAAAAGGCACAATGCAAAACCAGACATGAAATGAAACTTACAATCTCGCCAAGGTAATACTTGTGCAGAAGTTTGAGGGCCCTTGATCCATACCCAAGCGACTGGTAGTCTGGGTGTGTGGCGATCCGAATGACACGCGCACCCGACAGTTCGCCAAAGTTGGGCTCGCAAAACTACATTAAAAAATAAAAACGTTGGACAACAATACTGTGCCACGGGCTTTGGTTCAAATGCAAAACGCTAGAAGGTCCTACCTGCTGACTAATAGACCACGGAATGAGGTCGCCGGAGGGTTTCAGGCCCCGCGACAAGCCACGCAGAACGACATCGCGGTTGATTTTACCCTCTAGACAGACCTGGATGACACAGAGGATCTCTGGTACACGACCAGAACTCGGATCATAGGGAGCAAGGAGGCAAAAAATATGGTGCGCTGGGGCGTCTGAAAGTAACTGCAGATCGTTAGGAGAATTTTTGTAGTGCGAAGAGACGTACAAGGCCATTAAACGCTGCAAAAAGACCTCTGTTGAGGCATGGTAGGCGAAAAGGGTGTCCCTGTTGACGTAGTAGAGCTGGCACAGGTCAGGAGCTGGAGCAATGCCACCAGTTTTCGAATCAGCTGTGGATGCAAGTTTTTCTTCACAGTCGAGACAGAGTAGATTATTTAACCAACTCTCGACGGGGTCGCCGTTGGCATAGCGGATAGCCTCTTTTAGAGACACCTCGTAAAGAAGGCGGGATTTGTTCACTGAATCATAAGACAAAGAAGTTTACAGTGAACATGCCAAGACATGCTAGCCAAGTTTGATGGTGCTAAACAACGAGATCTGTGGGAAAATAGTTCAAGCTATGCGTAATTAAAAACTACGTATGAGAGTCGGTGAGACCAACCCCAATGCACTGAAGCAGCAACTGAGATGCTGAAAACGATATTCGAAATATTCTTATTCCTTACCAAATGCAGAGACAATTTGCACAAATCTTAAAAGGCACGCAGTAAATGGCGGAAAAATTTCAAGTGTATGAAACTAGAGTGATTTTGTCGTAGTATTATTAACTTATTAGGTCGAAATATAGAGTCGAACGACTAAGTGCCCATTATTGATAGCTTCATAGGAATTATGTGACATCATAGAGCATTAGAACGTCGGGCCGATTGGTTCACGCAAAAGAAACTGTTCAATTTATTTACGCAATGTGCATATTTCAACATCGGCTGAGTTGCTATGTTACTACTACAAACGCAAACACGGGATCTCCAAAGACGAAAGAAAACCACAGGAAGTGAATGCGACAGTAAATAAAACTAACTCAGTTGTAAGCCCTTTCCAATTTCTGACGGTCCCTTTGACTGTTCTGTAGGAGTTGTGGTCGCTGTGGCGTCCGCAAGCTGGCACTCATTTCTCAATTGATGGATCAGCTTCACCGAGAGCGATCTACCCGTTCCCTCATAGCCGTTGATTGTCGACGCCATGAAAACTAACTTCGGTCCAGTTATCATCTGGCGCACCATTGGCAACGGAATAGCAGCCGCTTCGTCGATGCAAAATAGATCAGGTTGCCAACCTCCACCCGAACCAGCTGCTGCTTCCCACGGTTGGAGGTACACTAAACTCTGACGATACAACCGCCGCGTAACTTCAACTTTGATAATTGCCTTGTTATGCTCTGGGTCATCGGAACGGTACACAGCATAGTCCACGTGTTCTTCGTACTTAAGAGCTCTCAAACCGAGCACAACGAACTGCATAAGTGTTAAGAGATTCTCAGGACTTGGAGCGGTAACACACATATTTGGGAGACCAGCATCAAACGCGGCTGCGAGGCCAAGACCTAGGGCAGCAGACTTTCCTCTACCACGGCCGGAGGTAATTACAACGACGGCGGAGGAGACGGTTTGTCGGTTACGCTTGCTGCCACCTACAGACAGGCTCGTAATCAAATCCTGTGTGGAGAGGTCAAATTGGGAAAGCTTGTTGGTAAAATCTGATTTTTTGGAGGCCTTTGACTTCTCGAAAGGATTCGTTACATCGATGAGAGCGGAACAGAACTGAAGGAGGGACTTTGATTGGTCCAAGGTTTTGCAGAGATTCACAAGAGCCGCAAAGTATGATTCGTCCTCCGTGAGAATAAGCTAAAAAAGTTTGTAAGCAAGCGAACCATACCTTTAACTTGGCTAGCTCGGCTTGCTCTTTCGATATGTACTCGGATTGCTCGCGATCCGGCAAACAGTCAAGGCTATTGATAACCTTTTTTGAGATTGGTAATATGTTCCAGCGATCATCTAAAACGATACACCGACGATTTTGTGCCAGTGAAAGCAGGAACCGTTCGTTAAAACGGCAGACAACATCTGTGTGTGCTTCGGTCCGGTATCGTGCATGAACGTCCTACGCGTGAAATAAGTAAAATAGCAGCAATTACCATAGCCATGGTGCATAGCTGCTGGAGCGAATCCATCGATTTAAGGAGAAACACAACAAGGCCACCCCCGGCAACCGTTTCGATTGTCCGTGCGAGGGTGTTGGGTGTAAGAGCTTCAAAGTCTTGTAAAACACACATGTGGAATGTTTGACCGAGAATTTTGTTTGTTTCATGATAATAGCACCAACGAATATCGGTCGAACAAATAAACTGCTCAAATACCGTTCCCTCACTGATGATACCAGATTTCCGGCGCTTGCTTAAAAGAGCATGCTCGTGATCAACGAACAAGAACTTACTTTAGAAGTCTTAGATTACGCTTGCGGTGACTAAACAAAGAATGTGAGCCAAAAGTGCAAATTACGTGCTAAATGAAAGTTCCTTTTTATAACACCACAAAATTTTTAACATGCCCTTTTTGACTATTGCTGTCTGGATTTGGTGCAAAATAGGTACCTTACAAATTCGAAGCAAGGGTCAAAGCGGCTTACTTGATCCTGGCCCTTATTCCCAACAATGACGAGAACAGTGCGATAATTCAGCTTGACTCCACTTTGGAGCATAACCTGTATTCGGTTATCAAGTTTTTGCAGCTTCCCCATTCCACTGAAAACAACGTGACCGAGGAAAATAAAAAGACGCCAACACCTGATTGGACGATAAATATATTTATAATATCAGGGTTGTGCTCCGCTGTTTAAAATACACAACTGATGTTTTTAGGTAACGTAACGCAACTTTAATAATTTTTGTGGTATGTAGCGTGAAAACGTTTTTAGTTTTTGATTCACTAGCTTATAAACCATCAGTCTTTATAAATTTCAACTCCTGAATTTGACACTATCCCTGCACACTTTCTTATTCATTAATTTTTCTGACTTTAAATAGTTTATTTAGTGTTTCTCTTTTTAGGGTGACTCCAATAAACCAGTATGATAATGGATACGTAATAGTTTGTTACCGAGTTATTTACTGACAATGTGTACTCACGCTACTCATTAATAATCACTAATGTTTGCATTCAAGTGATTTGAATGATATTTCTCTATTAATTGCTCAACATTCGTCCCTGGAACTCACTGCTTGTAGGCCTAACAATGTATTTTTTTAGCTTTTAAAAGGAACTATGTAGTTACTAGCTCAATATTTCTACATTTTGGCATAAATCATGCAAACTGACACATTTACACTCTTTCACCGAAGCCATCTGCCTATCATTCCATAACCCCACTCACACCATGCAACAACTTTAATTTCGGCCAGTCTGTTTACTTCAATTTTGCCTATTTCGTAGCTGTTATTAAAATCAGATAATCTCAGACATACGCTGTACAACACTAGAGCCTGCAAGCACGAAATGATTTTATAGGTGATAAACCCCATTATTATATGTGAGTTATTTGGGTGCACTTTTGTTTCAATAAGGGTATGACACTATGCAGTTGTTACCATGTTCCGGCTATTACTTCTGCAATCAGATATTTAATCATTTACGCAGAGGTTTGAAAAATAACCAATGTAATTTTTTCGACTGAGAATGCATTGGTACAGCAAAAGGTACTCGTAAGATCCCTGGGACCTCCAGAATGCAATGAAGAATCCGCCTTCGTCCCTAGATGTTGATACCTGATTACGTTATAAATATGTTTTTTACAGGTTACCTTTTTTTACATCTCTCATACAACAGCAATTTAAGTGAAATTAAGCATTTTCTCTTGGCTTTAAACTCTTTAGTTCCGTTCATACCTTTCTCTCTGCTTGCATAGAAATGCTGAAAGCAGTCTAATTTGTTCTTGACACATAATTAGTGAATATTTGATCTGTGCCGACAACAAACCGCTGACCTTTGCCAATCGTTGGGGTTCCTATTGATTACCACCAAGAGAGTGGCAACATTTGAATTACATCCCGCAGTTTTCATCCGACATTGAGGGTATGGACAGTACAACAGCTGATGCATTCTATCGTTCACATATTGAAATAGTCGAGAAAAAGCGACTGCTCAGCAATACCACAAAAGATTGCAAAAACTACAATGACAAAATAGCTCTAAAACTAGTTGAGCTTCAGTTGTCTGCGCTATTTCAACCGGCTAGCAGCGCCCTTAATTTTTTAACCGAGGCACCGCCAAGTGCTCTAAGTCATCCACGGTAGAAGCATCCTGGTCAGCGAGTAACGAGAAAGCTTATATTAAACCGATATATATGGCCTGACGTGAATCGATGTACTCAATACTGGACTTGAAATTTTGTAGGATGCCAAATGTCCTAGATAAGCCAGCTTAGCATAGCAAGACCCCCTCTTTAGAGTTTAAAGTTTTATAACATACTCGGGAGGTTTCTGTTGCCTTTTTAATTTTACCCAATAGCATGACGCCTCTCCATTGCAAGACATATTCACTGAAGTGGTAGCTTAAACGTTCGTGGACGGATAGATTGTCTTATTTGGAGTTCCCTCCACCATTGCTACAGATTGAGGAACGCAGCTCAAATAAAGACCGTTCTAAAATCCCACACGGCTCCTGGGAACGAACCGTCTACGACCCTCAATCAAATAGCATGGTAGAACGTTTTTACCGACAACTGAAAGCCGCCTAAACAGGTCACAGTGACCCATCTATTTGGGCGGATGTGTAATCCACTGGGCTACTCAGGCTTCAACCAGCCGTAGAGGAATGCTTATGTTATTTCTCTGCAAAAATGCTTTTCAGAACAACATTGTGACTACCCGGACAACTTTTCCCCGCAAAATCCCAACCGTCGTGGCCGGATCATTTACGTGAGCCAATTATCAGGCTGCAGTCCACTCAACACCGAGGGCGTTGTCCTCGTGCACCGACGTATTCATCTGTCACGATGCCGACTGCCGCCCACTTCAACCAACCCACGATTGACCTTCCAGAGTACTTAGGTGAGAAGTAAAGGTCTTTTTCGTCGAGCACAACGGAAAAAAGGCTGTATCTCTTGACCGCCTCAAGCCACCTTTCCTCGACGCGGAGACGCCGCAGCCAACCCTCACCCTCACCTTTGTAGCGATTGAACAGAAGACAAATCGGTCATTTTAACCTGTTCGAATATGGAGCCATTCATGGGCCTCTCCATACCTCTTTGGCAGATTGGATGCTGCCAATCCCATCCCACCGCACGATCAACGTTTCAGATTCCTGACAGAAAGTAGAAGTTGGTGTCGGCAATCGCCCCCACCGAATCCTCTAGTCAATATTTTATGTCCATTCACATCAACCCCGTCTCATCTCCCGACTTTTGATTCTCGCTTGATTTGTAGCATTGTAGATTCAGTTTCGCTTGGCCTGTTTTGTCTCCTGACTCCCATCCAGATCATTTAGCAACGACTATCGATCTGTCAATCATTAGGTTTTTATTCCTAGCGTCATCTCAGGTTCGACTCTTCTCCATCACCAACCTTTACGACGGTCGCATATCGACTCCACACAAACCTGCGGCCTACTTTTCAGTATCCCTTCTGGTAGAAAAGGTCCACCAATTCCTATCGCTAAGGAGAAGAGGTGTAGTGAACCGTGCTGATTTACATCCATTACCCCGGCCGTCGAATACCCTAACTCGTTGCCACTCACAATTCACGGCGCCCTTATCATCACGCGGAACCGTCTCTTCATACATCTCCTTCGCTAGTCATTCCATTCATCAGGCGATTTAGCCATTTACCCTTTTGCAACTCCCCCCCGGACGCATTAATCAACAAACGCCATTGGTCAGACATGACCATTTACGCACAGGGCGCTACTCGCAACTGGGTTGAGCCATCTAATAAACGCCTGTGTCGCCGCCGTCTTCGATCTTAATCTTCCCGGGTATCAGTTTAGCGAATGGAGCCAATAGGAAGTGACGGCCTCGATGCGGCTTGAGACCACACGCTAGGGCCTTCAACAAATTCATGACCTTGAATTTGCTGCCTATAAGTGCACCAGACAAATGCATTACGTGAAGTACAACAATTACCACTCCACACGTGACTGGATACAGCAATGCCAGAAATGGACTCGGTTAAAATCTCTGTTGCAGATATCGTATAAAATTGTGATGGCGACAAGTATGCTATGGTTAAGTAGGAAAATTTCACGTTGTCCCCATTTTAATTGACAGCCCTGTAACTCATCGTGGATTTCCATGGGTAAAGTCATTTTAATGCACACTGCTATCGTGATGTTGGTCTGGATTTGTCTTTACTCATTTTAGAGCCTACTCTAAACGTGTATTTAAACCGAGGTACTCAGAGTTTCAATAGGCCTTCGTAATTGGTTTTTTTGCTGGGTATTAAGAAGTCTTTGGGGACTCCACAATCTCATAACCTTTTACAGTGATACTATTTGGAAACGCGATTTGCAAAAAGACGATAAAAATAGAGATTGCCTCTCTAAGAAATGAAAAAAACGCCTAGACTGAGAACTCGAAATTTAAGAACATTGGTCAATCTGCCGTCCGTAGCGGTTATTGCTATTATGATGAAGTCTTGACCTCCCCTTTTCTAACTCTTTAAAACCGGAATTGATTCCTCACCTTCCGATTGCTTTTTACCAATCTACCTATTCCTAACATACTCCGAATGTGTGCCATTTATCGTTCTTGTCACCAAGAGCTTGCTTCATTGTTTGTATTTTTATGGCATCACTCAGACCAAACAGTGAGTTTAGGCAGAAGTCCAAATCATGTTTAGCATCTAGATAGGTTATAATAGTTATAAAACATATGGTGTTGAGATCAGCATTTACCCACTGATCTTGGTGGCACCTGATCGTCTATTACGATACTCAGTGAAGGTGGACATTGTAAAAGACATTCCTCCAGATCTTTCAAGTTTGCCAACCTGATACCTGGGAACCGTTCTGAGTCCTTATCACGAATCATTCGAATTCCCTTTACTTGGATAGGAAACAGTCTAAGCACTTGTCACACGCGAAGTTATTATAATTATTGGCGACTCCCTCCCAATTGACGCCAGTGTACACGTCGCATTCTCGATAAGCCATTGTCCACTCGTGCAAAGTTACTGTCACCGTATCTGCCAGGCGCCCCAAGTTCAGGGTTCCAAAACATGTTGCCTCTTGTAAACCGTTCTTCGGTAACTTGAAATGTAGTTGAAACAACGAAGCGAAATGTGTCGATGAAATTCTCTTGTCACCTCTCTATCTGATGGCACGATAACTTCATTGAAGCATGGCTGTCGTATTCGCATGCACATCCGAAAAAAAATTAAATTGTCTCTGATACCTTTGGGTTAAGTTTCACAGTCAGTTGAACTCTGGAGAATATATTTACTTTGTATTTTCTTGGTTATCCCTCTTAACTGCAAGTGCCACAACTTTTGTATGTATCTCTCCCCCGAATTTCATTGTCTTGACTCCTTTTTATTTTTATAGAAATGTGCACTAAACACAGTCATTTGAAAGCACGCCTTTTAGTCAAAATTTACCAAAAATAAAAAAAATATCCCTAACTTACAATTTTAAAGTCAGGGGAGCATTTTCTGCAGGACGTCAGGTGGAGGAATTTGATAGCCATAGTGGAACTGCGAGCCGACCTGCAGCATCTGCACGAACGGCACTGGTAATTGGTATGCTGACTGAAGGGAAATGGGAGCGATTTCTGGAGCTGGCGGTGGTTCATTCGGGGTTTCGAGTGCTGGTGTCAGATTTTGGCACTTCGACTGAGGACAACCGCTCTCCCGTAAATGCACCTTTCGGATGTGTTTCCTAAGATCGAAGTTGCGGCAGAAGCCTTTGTTACAGTAAGAACAGGTGAAGGGCTTCTCATCTCGGTGGGTGTGCATGTGGAAAGTTAGAGTGTAGGCCTGATGGAAGGACTTGCTGCACAGCGGACACTTGTGTTGTTTCTCGGTGCTGTGTGTCAATCGGTGGTTGTTGTAATTTCCCTTCTGATGGAAATCCTTTCCGCAAACTTCACATTTAAAGGGTTTGACTCCTTCAAAAAGATCAACATCGGGCATATTAAAGGAAAAGTAATTAATTGAATGCAAAAGCTAGATATGGATTAAGTAGTTCCATTACGGTTAACCCCCTTACTCAACCATTCCACACAGACAAATAGTTAAAAAAACAGTGGAGAAAAATGAGCAAAATGAAGATGGACTTAAATTTTGGAGAGGCGTTTCGACCAACCATCCATGATACTTGAAGTCAATCAGCTTAAAACAACTGGACCTCTTATAGCTAAACTTCAGATGGTGGCTAAAGCAAAGCAGACATTTGGTAAAAACGGGATTTCAAAATGGGGCGTCAGAAAGACCAGCACCACAGTGGAAAAGAAGCAAATTCAAAGAAATAAAACAGGAAAAGTACAAACCTAGGTGAATTCTCACGTGAGTGCTGAGAGTGGAGCTTCGATTGAAAGCTTTCCCACAAACCTTGCAGATGTGCGGTTTCTCCGTTGTGTGAACGATTTTATGCCGACACAACGTGCTGGCCTGCCGGAAACCCTTCCCGCAGATCTATAAAGACGACAGCTACGTCATTTTATGTGTCCGAAAGAGCAATCTGTTTTCTAAAAACAGGGCTTCAACTCGATCTCGTTTTATGGTTCCTGAGGTGTGCAAATGAGTCAGCTGGTAAAATAGCTTTCAAGATTCAGTCGATACCAACATACTCGACATGTGGTTAGTTTGAGTCAGTTGACCAGTGGGTTATGCTAGCTAACCATTGGGTGGTATGTTGTGTAATGGGACTTCATTTTAAGTCCACATTTTTTATCATTATCATCTACAGTTTAATGTCCAAACAGGATGAAATATTTCTGGGTAGTTACGAAGCCTTTTGAGGCACTGATGATCCTTGCTTATCAAATTATGGAGAACAGTGCTGGATCATTAAACCTGCTCCCTAAAACTGACCAAAAACTACAACTAAGAAATAAAAAGGACACGGTTAAAGTGAAACGTGAATAATTAATTGCTTTCATGTAAAGTTTAAGTTTCATTCAAATCAATGCGTTTTGGAAATATTTTGATTTCTTCTGCATATTTTGTTGTGTTCTAACTGCTATACTGTGTGTTGGCGCATTCACGCGATGGGCTTGAAAGTCATACAAAATCACAAACTTTCGGGCCCGCATCTTTTAACAGCCAAATTGATAGAAGCAACTTAAAGAAAAAAAATAAACCAGATGCGATATGCCAACTCCTTCAGTTATTCCAGAGAGTTTTTAGTCAGTCATTACCCCCAATCCCCCCTAAAAGATATTGCAGCCATCCCATTTGGTGCAAGTTTTTGCTGGTGCCATTCAGTGGTAAATCTGACACAATTTAAGCAGGATATAAAGATACTACTCGCTAAATTCAATCTCCAAAGAGGAGCTCACCTTGCAGACATATGGTCGTGCTCCCGTATGTGTGGGCATATGTCGGTTGAGGTTGTACTGGGCGGTGAAGACTTTTCCACAGTCAGGACAGACCACTCCGCTGGCATCCTCCGAAGTCCCCAAGGTACTTGGGGTTCCTTCCTCGGTTTCCGGCGTTGAGTTTTCGGAGACGGTTGGATTTATCAGCCCGTCAATTGAAAAACGTAGGCTTGGCATTGGGCTTGAGGCAAAAGAAAGTCAAAGGATAATGAGGACTTGTCCTAAAAGTTGCATTTACCTTTATAGGTAGTAGAGAACGGTCTAGTTTGCATCGGACGTCAAAATGCATTTTATCACTACTCCACCGCAGGGGCCGTTCAAAGTTGCAACGTAAATTCTGTGGGACATCTTGGCAAAATTGCATGTACATGACAAAATGCGTATTAAAATCTTCGGAATTTATTAAGTGGTGAAAATTTATTCAGAAGAGAAATCACGCGATGATATGCCGCACACTGGACCTTGTCTGGATAAATATTGGTTATTTTAGAAATGCCTGCCACTTGGAACACAGTTTTAGTCATTCCCTGAACCCATTTTTACGATTGTGGCTGACTTTTTTATAGGAAGTAGCTGAAACTGTTTACTTAGCTGGCTATTCTAAAAGTCTCAGTAAAATAAAAAACAAGAAAATTGCAAAAATTGGCATACCCTAGCGAAGGATCCCGGCTAGAGGATACGGGTCTTTGCAGTCCGCATAAATATATAGAGGTCGCCCCAGACCGCCATAACTCTGTTCCCCTTACCCCCTCCATAAATGAATCGGTCGCGCTCACCCGCCCAATCAAATAGAGACGCCAAATGACTAATCAACCAATGGAATGAAGTCACTGTAACGCATGGCTCAGTTGGGGTAGATTTGCGTTCGCTTCACTACCTTTTAGGCGACTGCAGTATCAAAAGTTGATGACCCCACCGCTCGGCCCATAGAGCTGCTACATACGGATTGGTTGGAAATAATTAGTGTCTCGTTTGAGAACGCGTTTTTTATGCCAAAGAATGTCTCTGTGGGAGTGGTGGATTTATACCCGTTATTTTCTACAGTTGGTATCACTCCTAAATCTCTGACCGCCCATGTCTACGTAACTTGAAATGTAGAACTTATAGCCAGTGATACTTTCACCTTTTAAGTGATTCATTCGAAGCCCAGTTTTGGTAAAGTGACTGATTCAGGCTCTGGGGTTGGGCGTGGTTGATGAGAAACGAATGCACGCCGAAATGAGAGAGAGGACAGAAAGGCTTCGGATTTGACTTTCCATTAGGGCGTGGGACACAGAGAAACCAGATGCCAGCTCGTACAAGGTCAAATGTACTCAAAGTCGGGGTCATCAGTTGTTGAAGAACTATACCGAAGCCGATGGGTTACATTTGCTTGATTACGCTACACAGGTACCCGCGAACACCATGACAGGAGATAATGAAGGCACAAACGTTTAATAAATAGCCTAGTTGTCATATTGTGTTGCGTAACTGTGCATAAAACGTCGGGTCTGATTAATGAGGGTTAATAATTAGTTCAGTCTGGGTGAATTTGTAAAAGTACAAGTGACTGAGTGAGGCGCACCAGCACAATATGGGCGGATGGACCCGCATGACGGTTGTCTCGTTTAGCGACAACAAGGTGACTCGTCATCCCTGGCCCATCCGCACCAACGCAGCAAATTCGGAGCGATTCCCCTTCACGAAAAAATGGGATCTCGAGTACCAAGTTGACAAAATAAAACAGCGTTTAAAATTACCTGATTTTAATGGAAATTTGTCTCACTCTTTATCTGGTAGCGTCTTCTGAAGTAATTTTCAAAATGTGTTTCCCATTCTCACTGCATAATTACGAGTTAATTTATCGTTGAACTTATGATTTCAGTGTCAGTTTAGCAGTAGTTTCATGAATGTATTTGTGAGATTTGGCATTTCGTGGAGAGTTACCGTGGCCCTGCGACTCTTAGCATTGACTATTTTCACGTGATGCTCTTTGAGGCTTTGTGGCAGCGATTTGAAGGTCCTTCTTCTGGATCTTGTTAGCGGTAGGACTGCAATATTTGGTGTTGTTGCTCCGTACCCTTTTACTGGCCATTTCTATCTGTTCTTTTACTGGTCGGGAACGTTCCTAGTGGTCAGCCACCTTAAATTGTTCACTTGTTCCTTCTGCATATGACAACTATCTCGAGATAAAGTCAAATAAATATGTCTCTGATTGATTTAAAGAGACCTTGTCTAAAACAAAAAAATGTTCCTACAGAGGTAAGTTAGAGTATTCTGAGCTGCCTCTACTGCTCTTGACGTAACCGACATTGGTAGTAGATTAGTAAATTGGGTGGAGCATGTTAGACAATCACCAGAATAATGCCAGAGTTTTATTTCACATAAAACATTTGTGGCTGCACGGTACCCCTTTTCGGAGTCCTTTGGTGAAGACAGACTTCCGGTAAAACGACGCTGTCTGTTCATTGTGCTCCGTTCATTTGTCGTTCCACTCATCGTTCTGGTTATTCTGTGCAGACTATAACAGAACGAATAGCAATAGGAGCCCCGGGTGTATACATAGCTATTTGCTTGACATTCACTCTAGATGAGGGTCTGAAACTAGGCTTCCCTCGTATACCTTTCATAGTCAATAATCGGCTCTCTGAGTTCCGTTGAGGGATGAGTATAGTGGATTGGGTGGTAACGTGCAATTGCTCCCAATAACCACCTTCTCCGGGAGATAGTCGACTTTCTCCTATTCCACGGGTTCTTTGTAGAGGTAATTCCAAATCATTTTTAAGCAACAAAAAATCGCACAATAATGCCTGAGAAGGAGGTAAGGAATACGTCAGTTTTGGAATTATGGAGCGTCAGTTGTGGCTGTTATTGCAACATTATTTCCCAACAATGGCAGCAACAAATATGTAAACCCCCTTCGTACCTTTTGAGAGCTTGTTTCGAGCTGTACACTTGACCACTCAAACATAATTTAAGCAATCAGAAAGAGTTTAATACTTTTAATATTAATTGCTGACTTAGAAAAAGCGATTGGGTGAAGGAAGAACTCGTTACAGTTAACATTGGCAACATGACAAAAGCTGCAAATACACTCAACTCTCAATTCTTGCCACGTCCTTCAGACTTGGTTTGTGATCACAACCCTAAACTATTCGGGTGGTTTAGTCCAATACTAACACAGTGTAGTGGATCGGTTTGATCCACGTCCACTAACCTTCGCGTCGAATGTCCAGACTCGTCCCCCCCTTTTTCACGGCGTCCTTATTGATCACGCTGAAACCGTCTGCTCATGCGTCCCTGGGCATGTACCTCCCCCACGCTACCCAAATTCCTTCATCTGGTCAGTCAGCGATTTGTACTTTTACAGGACCACCCCGACTGAATCGGTCAATAACTCCATTAGTCAAACACAATTTGTTTTGCGTTGTGGTGTGACATTACTTGAATGAGACATCTGGTTAAAGCCTGTCTCTGCTGTTTCATTTCTTTCTTCCAGTACTTCGTACTTAGGAATTAAAAAAACATAGTTGTACGAAAACTGGTTGACAGTTGGGATTGGTCTTAGCTAACAACGGGGAACATTGCGCATTAAATTGCAATTTAGTTGTCAACTAAAGTCAAATATTCTTCCATAAAGTGAATAAAGTTGGATTGACTTATTACAAAGGTAAATACTTTTAAAAAACGAAGGCACTCCAGTACTATCGCGTTAACCCATTTCACTAGGGGTTGCATATGGTGAAGGGGGCACCGTACCCCCAAGTATCGCTGTCTCCTAGACTGTTTAACCCAAAGGCTGAATCACAAGCCTGTTGATCTCGTTGTGGAGCCTGTTTACAAAGTCGAACGAGGAAGTGACTAACCCGACCCACTCCACCACCCCCAGCACCCCCCGCACTTCACTTGCACTGCGTTTGTCCTCGATCAGCCACCTGCGCATAACTCAGTTTATTGGTAAAAAACAGTCTCACCCCTCCCCTGTCCCTCGCGCTGTTGCGCGGTTTGCATAAACAAGTTGTAGTTTATTTGAAGAAGGTGAAGGAGGGGACTTGCGACCGGCTTACACTCCTTCCCCCTCCAGCCTCTCCACGGTACTCTACGCCTGACGCACAAATTGAAGTCCCCTCAGAGGTACGTGGAAAGCAACAGAGAGTAGCCCACCTGTGCTACCGAAATGTAACGAAACAAGTGGAATGTGCAGTGAATCGTGCTGATTCACATCCTCTAACACGGTCGTCGCATTCTCCGCCACGCTGAACTTCTTTTCACGGCTGCCCTGTCTGGACTGCGAAACCGCCTACTCACACATCCCTATGTGTGTACCTCCCTGTTTCATCCATCTGACCATTTAGCCGTTTGTACTTTTGCTACCTCACTCAGACTGTTTTCATCAGCAACCCCCCCCCATTATTCTGACACGCTTTTTTCCGCTGTCTAGTAAAGGGACGTGTCTCCACCGCCTCGTCTTTCTTGATATTCTCGGGTATCTGTGTGGAGCATTCGGGCTAACTCAGCACAACGGCCACAGCGTAGTTTGATCCCTCAAAAAATCACAGATTTTGATTTCATGTCGACTCCAAACTTCACAATTCCTACACTTAAAAGCCTCTCTTAGACTTTAGATCCACGAAGTGTTTTACTTCGTCATAAGAAGTGTAAAAACCGAACACACATAAGAGCGCACAGTTATACATCACAATAGACGTCCAAAATCGCAAAGCTTGTGTAGGCTTCGACTCAGCAGTTAATTTGTCGGCCTACTTTTACTGATGCTTCTTAGTGGCAAGTTTCTAAATCACACTTAAACGCTATACTTCTCAACGTTGGTTGATTCCGCACTCTAATTCAACACCGATAAGCTGCTTTTATTCCTGTTACGGTCCAAAAATTCTTTGCATGCGCCAGGACAACCATGTGTTAACAGTCTTCAGTACTTTCTCTAGGTTCCTATCTTGCTCAAACATTTCGAATCCCGGATCTGACATGCATATTTCAAAAGAATCTTGACTTATTCAATCTTATCATCATTATCATCAACCTCCGATGCAGGCGGAAATTAAGCACCGTCTTTATGACCAAGACGCCAACAACCTCCCTGCTGCACAGAACTTGCAGCTCACTGACACGCCATGGCCGCATCCACCTTTCGACGATTTTGAAAAAAGTTTCCACGGTTTATCGTCATGCCAATAACG